TAGATCTGATGTAAATTAACTTCATATTAACTATTTTTATATAGAGGTAATTCTATATATCACCTAATATTAAGAGGGTAACAAATGGAAGATTTTAATAATAATCACATTACTAAATTTTGATCCCTGCAATTCTGGCAATACCAATGTTCACTTTGTCTGGTTTTGTTGCAGAATGCCCCATATATGGTTTGGATATGATTGACCAGGGTTGAAATTGACCAAATTTGATCGGTAATCAATTTGTCAATCAAATATTTGACTGTGGTCAAGTGAGCATAGTGGACTTTTGATAGCATAGTGGACATTCGTTTTATCACTTGTGACAAAATCAAATCATCAATCTTTTTTATATTGTGAAACTTGCTATTTCAATTGAATTTAGAATAGAAAAAAGTTACATGACTGCACACAAAACTCATTTTATGGAAAATCTATTTTTTTAATATTAATATATTGCTTTGACTTTTCTTTATATTTTGGTAAAAACTCAATCAATTTGATCAATTTGATTTCAATAAGTTACCTTAGAAGTAAAAGTTAAGGCTTCTGTGATCTTGTCCATCTGAATTGCCCTATGAAAAAATAGTTTACAGAAAAGTTACAGAAAAATACAGAAAGTTTATTAAAAATTTACATGAATCTTATTCTATATGAAAAGATTTGCAGAAAGTTTATAAGAAATTTTCATGAATTTCATATTGCTGATGCTTTACATATGTCATAGATTTTATCATTTTTTTATTAAACAAGAATTATCCCAAGACCAGAATGTTTACTAAATATTGACACATAAAAAACAATTATTTGTTTGAGCAAAGGAATAAGAACAGGTAACAAAATTCAACCTATACAATTGTTGATTGACCAATCAAAATTGTGAATTTGATAATGTAAAACAAGTTAATTAGTTTTGACTAAGAAAACTAAATAAATAAACTTTTATCTTCTTTACCCAAAATTATTTGCTAATAACAAAATCAATTCATTGATCCCTATTCATTCTGATCCACGCAAAAACAAAAATAATTGTTATCACCAATTAAAATACACTCTCCCAAATTTAATTGGTGACAGTATCAAGGCGGGACTTCTGTGAAAAATCTCAATGCTTATATCGGGTATAACTGGTGATATTGTTTTAATATAACATATGGATGGGTACTCCTTAAATTACTGCATCATCATCATATTATTCAGTGTTGGCATTTGGCCGTTGGCCGTAATTTGGCCAAACCGGCCAAGATCAGCGGCCAAAATTAGCGGCCAAAGTTCATTGGCATTTGGCCACGGCCATTTGGCAAAAACGGCCAAAAAATTGTTACGTTTTCTTGGTTATATTATTAATAAATAAATGAAAATAATTTCATTCCTTCTTTCATTATAATAATTAAAGAAATAATGCCTCACAAGTACATTAATTATGTACAACTATTATCTGAACATGCAGATAAGTGGCGAAAATATTGCATATGTACCTCTTGCAAAGAGAAGCTAGGTTATAATACAGCTTTATTAAACAAGATTCCTAATAAGAGTGAGAGAATTAGCGCGCATTTAAAGAAATGTTCAAATTTTAAAATTATGCATCCTGAAAAATACAATGAATTTTTTGGATCAGATGAAACCATTAATTTAAATAGCAGAGATCTTGAACAAAGTAATGAATTTTTTATTTCATTTGTATTTGTTATAAATTATTACATGCATTTAATTTATATTAAAAATTTTCTATAGTCTCTTCATCAAATTCATCTATTTCAACCAAAGGCTCACTTGACTCTTTTGTTGTTCGTCCTATGTCAAAAAACAATGTATCAATATTTGAAAAACTATTAATTAGAGCTACTGTTTCTGCTGGCTGGTCTTTGCAGAGTGTAGAAAATAAGGAAGTGAATGAGTTGTTTTCTTTTATTAACCCCACAATAAAACTACCAGGTCGACGAGCTCTTGGTGGGCGTATCCTAAACAATGAAGTCAAAAGTCTTGAATTACAATTAGAAAATAAAATTAAAAATGATCCTGTTGGTGTTACTTTGTGTTTTGATGGTTGGACCAATGTAATAAACCAAAATATATTTGGTTCTGTATTTATAACTTCAGAAGGAGAGGTGCTAATATGGGAAGGAGATGACATTAGTGGTGAATTTGATAGGTGAAGAGAAGTATATAACAAAGCTGAAATAATGATTGAGAAAGTTTTTAATATGGGAGCTAATCTGATTTCTATTGTGTCTGATAGTGCACCAAGTTATGCAGATGCTAGGTGAATATATATATTTTTTTAATAATATTTGTAATAATATTTATAGATTTTATGAGAATTTCTTTTGATGTTTAATGGCTTTATAGACGTCAGCTTCAAGTTAAACATGTACAAATTACTTTTTTGCCATGTTATGCTCACCAAATGAATCTTTTTGTGGGAGAAATTTTTAAAGAATCAGTTGAGTTTAAGGCAACTTCCACAGATGCAATAAAAGTTGCACTATATTTTAAATCATCACTTAATAAATATTTTATTGGAAAATTACATTCAATACAAAAAGACACATATGGTAAATACATTCAAATTGCTATTGGTAATGATACTCATTGGAACAGTCATTATGAATGTTTTCGTACGTTGATTAAATCAAAAGTAGCATTAAGGGTGAATGTTGTATTTATTATTTTTTAAATATGTATACAAATTATTTTAAATTGTAATTAATAATTTTTATAATAATAAAATAATAAAGACTTTAGGTTCAATGTATGAACCCCACACAGGATCATCATCATATCGTAGACCTGATGAACCATTATATCTTCCTGCTAATATATCTTCAATTTTACTAGATGAAGACTGGTGGCTTTTACTTTCAAAACTAGTATTGGTACTTAAACCATATTGTATAATATTAGACATTTTGCAGAGAGATAAAGCAAGGCTGCATGAAGTTTTGGGTGGTTTTGGATATTTTGTTGAATTTTGGAAAAAATATGATGAATCAGAGCTCAGAGAAAAAATGCTCAATCATCTTCAGTTGAGATGGCAAAATTGGGAACAACCATTATTGCTTCTTTCATGGCTCTTACATCCTAATTACCAAATGAAAAAATTCAAAGAAAATATCCCAAATTTAAATCATGTTTATCTTAGTAAATGGTTAATATATTATTATGAGGCTTGGTCAAATATGAAGTCACAATCAATTTTACAGGAATATGAAAAATTTAGGAAAAAACAATATCCTTTTGATGAAAATACAATAAATCAATTTAATGAAGACATATTAGATTTTTGGGTGTGGGTTACTCCAACAGCAAAAGAACTTGGATATGTTGCTCAACGTGTTTTTGGGATCTGTGTTAATGCTGCATCAGTTGAAAGACTGTGGTCATGTATGGGTTCACTTCAAACAAAACGAAGAAATAGATTAGATGTAAGTAATTATAAATATGTACAATTTTTATAATTTTATTATTCTGATAAATTTTTCATTTAATATATATAGTTCAAAAAAGCTATCAATATGAGCAAATTACATGCTTCAATTAAATATCAATGTAAAGTTAATGAAGTGGAAGCTATTCGTAAACAAAAATCAACAGAAAACATTGCTGGTCCAATAGATTTAGAAATAAGTGAAGAAAGTTCCACAGATATCCAAGAATTAAATAATAACAGTGAAGACAATTTAGAAGAGGAGAAGAAACAAATGATGTATCTGATTGGAATAGATTAGTTAGTGAATGGGAAAATTTGTTACTTCGAGAAGAGGTGGATGATTTACTTTCCACAGATAGTGATGATGATGAATTTGAAATAAATGAGTTATTATTGAATCAAACTCATCCTGCATTAGACAATGTAGCAAAATGGCAAATAACTGATATTTTTGTTGAAAATTTAGAAATACCATTTTTTATTGAAGATTAATATTGTATTAAGAAAATTTTTTAAATAAAATATTATATATACACAAAAGAAAAATGTCACGTGTTTATAGATTTTTGGCCAAAACGGCCACAGCCAAAAACGGCCAAACGGCCAAATGCCAACACTGATATTATTATACAAATTTTTATTCATGTTATTTTTTTTTATATTATTTGTATTTCTTATCCATAGCATTATTCAGGCACACAATATTTTATTAGTGGAGCTAGTAAGGCTAAAATACATATAAAAATACACACATACATTATTACCTTCTAACACTGGTACTACCAGTATCTTCTTGGAAAGATCTGATTTATCATTATTGAATGCCAATTGTAATTGTAACCCTCCTACTGTTAGTTGTTGTGGATGTCCCAGGTTTTCAATGACATTATCAATATTGACCCTAATGAAAATGAAAATGATGAATATGAAGTTGAAAGTATTCTAGACATGAAAACAAAACATAAAAAGAAATTTTATCTTGTGAAATAGAAAGGATACCCCCTTTACAATGCAACTTGGGAACCTGAGTCTAATTTAACAAATTGCCATGAAATTTTACAGAAATTTTTAAATCAATGAAGACATTGATTTTTAATGGGGGAGTAATGTAACAGTTCTTTTTCGTTCTTAATTGCGAATATGTAATGTGGCACAGTAATACAAAATTTATTTTGCATAACATGTTAAATTAAAACAAAATGTTACTGTGCAACTTTACTTATATTACTGTTATATTACTTATATTATTATTTATATTACTTATACATATGTATTATTATTTATATTATTATTTATATTATTATTTATATTATTATTTATATTATTTTCTTTATGTATATGAGTTAGAAATTAAGTGCTGTAGCTTTCTGGGAAGTTCTAAGATATTATTATGATTGATAATAATTTATTTATTTAATTGTAATATTATATTATGCATTTTTGTATGAAAGGATAAGCTTTCCATAATTAGTAAAGATAACTTGTATTTTTAATAATAATTAAAACATTAGTATTTTGACATAGGGAAAAGGGTTTCCTTACACCCATTCTAAAATTTTATCAGAATACCTGGAATTTTATAATAAGATTTTGCTCCCTGGTCTTCATCACCTTGTTTGATGCTAATACCCTTGCTGTGTAATTAATCAAATAAATCATTAGTTATTTAGTCATACACATTCATTTATCAGTCAGAAGTGAAATTGGATTGGTCGATTCTTTATATGTAAAAAGAATAATTTTATTATTTGTATTTCAAATTCAAGTATGTTTTAAGGATATATAAAGTAATTTACAAAATAAGTATGTTTTAAGAATTATTAAATTCAGAGGTATATTTTAAGTGTATAATTAGGATATACATTCCTATTACTGTAAAAAATAAGAATGTTTTAATTGTAAAATAAGTATATTCATACATATTTTGCAAATAATTAGTGGATCATCTTTTTTAAGTATGTTTTGTAAAAAATAAGTAGGAAATAAGTATCTAAACTTTTTGTAGGGAAATAGAATTGTGATCATGTTATATTTATTTGGCAGTCATTTTGTAGCGAAAAAATTTAATCTTGTAGCTTTCAATGTCATACCTGCGCCAACTGCAAAAGAATTTCGATCAATGTGATGAATTTATTGACCATTTTACAAATACTTGTGTTGGCATTCTGTTCTTGGTAAAAATGTCTGAATTATTGATAGTACAGTGATTTCATCTTTACATATTGGTATTGCTTTACAAGTCCTGAAAAAATGACCCAACGAATGACAATAATAGTTCAGTCAATTTTTTCTCACACATTCCAAAAAATTCAGTTTAACAAAGTCCAGAAACAAAAACAATTTGCGACCTGCAATTGAAATTAATAGCTATAGAGATAGAAATAGAAAAATAGAAATAATAGATCTTAAGAATAGTGATATGAAAAATCCTTAACCGGTTAAGAATTTGAGGAAAATTTGTTAGAATTTCCTTCAAAATAATATATTATGGATGTTGTTTTATTTTTTATTTTTTATTTTTTTTTTGTGAATGCATTTCTAGCTGAAGAAAACAACCTCTCAGATGGAACTGAAGTCGCCAAATAGCCCCCAGCTTGTACTTATAGGTTTAAGTAAAAGTCAATTTCATATTTTGTGTTAATATCAATTGTTTGATATCGAAAGAAGTATTTTTTTAATCGTTATTTTCCTTGGTTATTTTTATCAATTATTCATCAATTTTTTGATTTATATTATGAAGTTGTTTTATAATAAAGCAAGAAACCAAAAAGGGCTCAATAACTATTTAAAAATAAAATCGTTCTTTATCAATAAGTGATGCAATTAATTAAATTTTCATAAAAGATCAATTATAAAACCAACTATAAATATCAGACCAATTTCAGATAGTAAAACCTTTGTTTTGCTCTCAAAAAATACAAGGGTATTCATATATGTTTTTTGTCTTTCAGTTCCGTTATCTTTTTCCTAATACATTATAATTATTGGTTGAGCATTTTTCTTTAAAAAGTTTTTGATTTGAATTTTCTCCTTTGTAATTGGCAAAAAAAACCAAAAAAACAAAGTGATAGGTGTAATTCACTGATGCGTAATTTACAGGACCTGATGGCAAATATTTGAAGGTTGTACGATTTCTAATAATTTTGGAGAAAAAAAGTTTAGGAACAAATATAAGGGTTTTTGAGCTACTAATGATTCTAATGATTTTCTTTGATTGTTTTTTAAATTAATCGACAATTCATTTTTTAGTAATAATTCAATTAATATTAATGCAATAAATTCAATTGAAAATTGGATATATGGGGGAACGCTCTATATAGGAAAACCAGGTTTATTAATATAAAAAAATTTTTTTTTGTGTAAACAACTAATTAAATTTGTTACACATATTAATATACGAAGTACGTATTCATCTTTAAAATTTAATTGATGATTTATTTACATTAATTTTATGATTCCTGAGCATACAAAATTCATCTGTGATGCAAATTTTGGATATATTAAAAGTAAATACAAAAATAGAATTATAAATATAGTTGATGATGTTGAAAAGGTGATAAATGATTCAGCGGAATGTAATAAGCCTGTTAGATATAATAATGGCTTGAATTGGAGCTGGTATAATTTTACATTGTTATTTGAAGGGCATTTCTGAAGTCTTCCAAATATAACAAAATATTATCAGTAGTTTACCAAATGATATTGGAAAAGTTTATGTTTCCAAAAAATCAGGTGGCACAGAAACTTCTTTTAAACTTTTAAAAAATGATGATTTTGATAAAAATAATCAATTAGCCCTACTTGAGGTTGCTCCATTAACAAAAGATAAAAAAATTTATTGGTATAACAAATTTGTCGGCATGTAGGCCCAAAATTTAGAGATATACTTTGCCCCAATCCTAATTAATTTTACATAATAATTTTTAAACAATCAAATACTTTATTGGATACTCAAAATGGTAAATTAATACTAATGACAAGCGTAATAAAAATTATGAATTAGTAACACTCTATGGGGTCTCCGTGACTATTAAATTTATTAAATTAATTATGAAATGTGCAGTATGTAGATCATTGCTTTTTTTAAATTTTGATTTTTAAATTCGATTCAAGAATTTTATTTTTGTACTATGGTTGGCTCGGTCTAAAGACCTCCTATTTCTGCGCCACGTGGCCAAATTTCAAAAATAGCAATTTTGTAATT